AAAATAAAGTCGACTTTAAAGTTAGTTGCAGCTTTTTTGACAGATATCCCATTGAAAATTATGTCAAAAAGCTGCAACTAACTTTAAAGTCGACTTTATTTTGACTATGACTACGGGCCATTCATTACACATTATAAGGTGGTGTTGATGGCGAATTTAGATTTTCGCCGAGGTGCGTCTTAATGTCAAAGTTATGTGTTTGTTGTAAAATGAATTCGCCTTGATTACAACAAACACATCATTTTGACATTCAGTAGTACTGCGGCGAAAATTTAATTCGCCATCAACACCACCTTGTATAAATTCGACTTGGTGTCCACATTTACGATTTATTAAACACCTACATTATCCATTCATTAAGACCGATTTATTTTATTATTTATTTCTTTTGTTATGTTTATTCTTACAACGAGTTTCTGCACCTCCTTGTCTTCTTCAATTTTGTGCACACCTCTTATATGACGCTTAATCCTGAAAAATTATATACATACACATATACATATATGTACATGTAGGGCATAATCATACTTTATTACTAACTTGTAAGCATCTGGAAACTGCTTTTCACAAACGCCACATTTATAAGGTAATCCAGTGTGTTGCATGCGATGATTATAGTATTGATCATATTTGGAGAATTTAGAACCACAAATCACGCACTTGTAACTGAAATATCCATGGTACTGCATGTGCCTATTTAAAATACGTTTGTGGATGAAAGATTTTCCACAAAGGTGATTTAGGTCTTGTATGAGCAAGATTGAGTTGTTTACTTTTTTCAATAAGACCAGCCCAGCTTCATTTAAGTTATTGCCGCTCTGCATATCCTTATCCGATTAAACTAGAAACTTTGTTGTTGTTGTAGTGTCAGTACTAAGGCCCCTATTGCGAGTGTCGACTGGCAGTAGAATAGAAATTTGTCGATCGAGTCGATCATCTTTTATTTTGCTATTGTGTAACTTGATCGATAAAAATTTGTACTATTGTGAATGGTTGACAGAATTGTAAACAGCTGTTTGTTTGTTTATATTTGTTTCTTAAGTGTTTTATTTACATCATTTTTAAAATAATTGCTTTTATTATAAAATTAAAAAAATGGACACAGTTGAAATATGGTTTAGTGATGGGAAAGATGATGCGGAAGCTAATAGATTAGTAGAGTTAGCTAAAGCAAGGAGGGGATTGCGAGATTCGTCGGATCCCTTGGACTTTGAAGGTGTATGTACACGTGTGAGTTTTATGAATAGAAGTTGCGTTCCCGATGCTTCACAGTTTTTAGGCTTTACATGATTTGCAGGAAAAGCTGTTTTCCTCATTAATAAACTTTATGGAAGTTTAAGAAATACGGTACGGTTAAGTTTTTTGTACAATGATGTTGGGTTTTTGTGTCCAAACGCGTGACCCGAGTTTAAAAATTTTAACTTAACAACATAATAAGTGTATTGAAAGAATTCAACTTTAATTTAAAATAAAGATTTCAAATTTCCGAGCACTAGTCAATTAATAAATTATGCAGTTTTTTTGTATAAACTTTTGATGTTGGTTCTGCGCAAAAACACTGTGGATGGCGTAGCCGGAGTTATATGCACAAGAAATATTGTATATGTATCTTTTCCAATAGAAGCGGAGCTTCCTACCCTACTCTTTCCGGAAATTCCTTTGCCTATGTCTTCACTCTCCTGCATCAGTACGAACAACCGCGCAAGTTGCCTTTTGTTGCTTTGTCGCGTACACGTGTCGCCCATTTTCAGACCACCATTGTGGTTGCCCTGGCTAGCTCAGCGATTGGGTGGTCGGGATCCTTAACCCTTGCCACAATGGTGCCGGGCGGACGTGGCGGCTCGTTCACTGGCATATCACACCCACAGGAAGCCCACCCATCCATGGACCGCCTGATGTGTCTCCTTGCGGTCTCCCTTTTGCCGTGCTCCAATTCCCCCCCTTAGCTTACCCCCCTTGTCATCTTCGCCTCCCCTGCTTGAGGGATTAAGTCCACATATTAAATTCTTTCATATACACGTTAAAATTTATTATAAAACATAGGAATTTACACACAACAAAATCAATGAATTTTATGATCGGTTTCCGGCCGCCACAACAAAAAGGAACCAATCAAATCGATCACCGTTTATACACGTATGTCAAACAAACTATATAAAAACCTGCCACCCTACCTACAAGAGCTCTTTTCGGATGGTGTGAAGGGTTTCCGGGAGCCGGATATTCCCCGCTCAGAAACTACTACAATTTACCCTTTTGTTTGGGTTCTTCTTGCCTGGCGGGCACAAAGACAATAAAAAAAAACGAAAGTATAAATACGTACAAACTTATTAACAAATTATCTACGCAACACAAATGCCTGAACGTATATATTACAAATAATGAAATGTTCAAAAAAATTAATATTTCTCGGACTATACTTGGGACGCGCAGTGTATCATCTAATCCCAATGATTGGGTTATAACATGCCGGTGGTGGTCTCGACTGACCCCTTACACAAACCGGAAGGCTGAATCTTTGCTCCTCGTTGCGAGCTTTAAAAAAAATCCTTTTGGGTAGATATTTCCCTCGCGCAAAAGCTTTTGCATAGAATTTTATGATACTTAAGCCTAGCACTCACCAGCGAACTGTGCCGTACCCTTTTCGCCTTCACTCTGGCGTGGTTCACCTTATCTCCTGGCACACTAGGGACACACAAAAATGTTCACTAACACCTGACAAAATAAATATTTTCGTCACTTACGTGTCGTTGGGGGGGGGGCGGGTTCTTCCACGGGTTTCGTGCTTTGGGCCTTATATGGTCGTCACCGCTGATGGCCAATCCTCCTGCCTTGGCAAGTATAATAAAGGCTTCTCCCTCTTCTTGCCTCTGATGACCACGTTCTCCCGGGCGCTTAGAGGTGATCGTGGGCTCTTCGCCTACACTCCTCACAATTTATTTATTTTTTTGTTTTTACAACTCGCGACTTAAAAAAAAACAAAATGTATTTAGCATTTATTTTTATTTCACTAAAGAAAAGTTTTGGACTTTACTGGACTTTTTTTAAAAAACGACAAGGCTCAACTAGCGCGCACTGTCTGTACGTTGCAATGACACCGGCAATTCTTTTCTTACGGAACTCAGCCGACCCCTTTTATATGCTATTTGTCAGGCCTCCATGTCTTCTAATCACCGTTCTTTCCGCTTTCTTCATTGTTCACGACCCGGCCAATCGTGGTATCGCGCACCCTATTGCTATCCCTCTCCACGGGATTTTCCCCAAACTCTCCAAACTACAACTTTTCGTCTGGCAACATCTGCCCATCAAAAGCTTCATAATTTCCCTTTTGACCTTCTGCTTTGTTTGACGTTTCTTCATGAGAACAGAAAAATAAATAGAGCGCTGGGTAAGTAAATGAAACATGGTATTTTAATTTTAATGATTTATTATCGGCATTAACTCTTTTCAGGTGGTCCAGGGATAGCTACTGTGGTATTTAGGCAAACGCCCAACGTGGGGAACACCCATACCCTGACAGCTTATAATTTTTGATCTGTAATTCAGACACATACATGCATATGTATATTTCACAATTTTTTACAACTTCCAGTTCAATTGACTTACTTTTTATCCATTATAGTACCACTTTCTTATGTAAATTTTATAAACGCAAACTCCAACGACTAAAAAACAGCAATAGAAGAATGAGCGATTAAAAAGTATTCACAGTCGCTAATTGAGCGACTAAGCGACACTCGCAATAGCATCGCTAATCGATAATCGCTTAATAGTCGTTTATCTACTGCCAGTCGACACTCGCAATAGGGGTGTAAGTTTTTTATCAATATTTATTTCGTGTTCGATATCATTTGATGCAGATGTTTCATCATCATCCATAAAATGTTCATTCCATTCTGGTGATACTTTTATATCCTCTACGTGATCCTTGTAAACAAATAGAAAATAATTATTGTTTAATTATATCTAAATCGTATTTGATATACCATATCTACAGTATCTGGCATCTTAGTTACTTCCATTAGCTCTTCATGTACTGGAACCCATTCAAAAGTGTTGGCTATACTTTCTATCTTCACTTTTTCCGTTTGTGTGCAACGTAATTCATTATCAGCTCTTCTCGCCTTTTCAATAAAATCATAAACGTCTTTAAGTTTTTGGGCACAATCAAGGCATAGATATTGCATCCGGGCATCATCGAGTTCATTTGGATCATCTTTCAGACTTAAATTAATTTGTGTACATTTACAAAAACACTCTTTGTATGATATATCCAAAGAGTCAACAGGCTGATGCCAATCTAGCAGATGCACCCGATCTTCCGGCGACAAACAGGCACGGCATATATTTGATAAATCCATCTGAACTTTTCACCACTGCCGTATTGATAATTCAAGTCTTAGTCGGTAAAAAATAGTTTTGTAGAATGAGTGATTATATATTGGTAAGACAGAACAATTTGAAAATAGGGATGTCGAAAATATTTCAATATAAAAAGTGGTACAATTTTAATGCTTTTAAAATTCGACTGTCCGACAAATCGATTTCTTCGGTAGATATAGTGATGTTCCGATATCAGTGAAAACTATCTCCTGAAATTGAATCAAAATAAATTAAAATGTACTTTAATAAATTTAAGGAAAAATATTGTTATAAACTTACAAATTGGTCATAGGCAAAAGATTGTTTCTTTTGTTTACTTTTTACCGCTCTTCTTCTGCCATTGTTTACTATTCACGGTGCATTATCAAACGTCAAAATTACTGGCCTACTACTATTTCAAGCAGAAGAAAGAACACGAACATTGTCTTGTGCATTTTCTTAAGAGCTGGATACTAAAGCCCTGTATGCAGCTCTCAAGAAAACGGTCAAGAAAAAATTGCCATTATTTCGTGTGTGTGTCCAAGGAATTTTGACATTTTTGGTACTTCACAGCCTGTTGCCTCACTCTTTCCTCAAGAAATAATGGAACGGGCATATATTTCTGTTGCAAACCTGGGTTGCCTTGTGCTCTTTTTTCACAAAAAACTTTAGAAACCCATATTAGAAAGCGTAGTTAATTTCTTAAGAAAGTAAAAATAAGCTTTTTATTGCAATCTTTTCTTGACCGTTTTCTTGAGAGCTGCATACAGGCTATTTAATCAGATTATCGGTCTACGCAACACCATTTTGGGGAGACAAAGCAAACTGGAGGCTAAGGTCGATGATTTGCGAAAGAAGATAACCGAAAATGTCAGAAGTTTACTCATTTTCGTATAATATTATCAGCCCATAATGAAATAAACATACGGTTAATAAAATTTAAATATTAAAGGAAGTTTTCGTTTTCAAGAATTTTAATTTATACGTTTTTGCGAAAGAGGATTTTGAAGTCTTCAATTCATATTTAAGAAGTCATTTTCGTTTTGCACAATAAATCTTGATGTTTCAGATGCCAGATCGATGCGAGGTGGTGGCTCAGCAATAAACTCTCCGAGAATGCAAATTGCTTATCAAAAAGGTCCATCAGTCATTCTGTCGAATAAAAGGGGGCGCTGTTATTGAGTTCCAATTGGAAATTTCAGATGTTCTCCTATTAAAAGCCATCGACGCATTGTTTGATGTGTAGGAAAAACTACAAGGCAATGAATATAAAGAGGAAATGGTATGAAAGAAATAGAGTTAATTACATTATTTCTATACTCTAGGTGTTATTATAACGGACCAATAATGTGCATTAATATATTTTGTTATTTGCAGATATCTTACATATTCACATTGGGCGCTCCGTCTGGAAATATTGATGGGACGATAAAAAAATGTTTTCGGACGAATTGTTAATCAATTTTAATTGGGATGACAGGTGTGGAAAGAGAGCGTTAATGAAACTTAAGCTCATTGACCGCATCTTATTTGGTAGGTTTATTTTTCCTTATGAAATTTGAAGTACTTATAACTTTATATTTATCTTAGATATTTTTAAACTCAAAGGCCGCGTCAATTTCGAAAAAGAAGTAAAAACAGCGTTCGTGTCAGCCATAATAGGCAGAAGCAAAAAAAAGTATGCCGCAAAAAACCTTCGCAACAGGAAGGCGAATAGTTTGAATTTCTTTCTTTTTAACTGCATTTTCTTCATAGTGGATTTTAATTTTAAGTTTTTATGTGAAAATTAGGATCTTTTTAATACTTCATTGATTTTTCTTGTATAATTTTTATCTTATATATTTACTTTCGGCTTTTTAATGCTCGACGAAGAAGAAGTTGATATTTTAACGTTTTTATGTAAAAATTTATATAATTAATTTTAGTATTTAAACTTTATACTATTGAAGTTTATCGAGAAAGTCGATATTTTTGTTCTTAAATTAATATGTCAAAGATATCATATGGTTCAGTTTATTATATTATTGTCTTCAAACAACTGAAGCTTCTAAGTCTTATAAAGTGTGATATTTTAACGTTAAATCAAGAAATTCTAATTTTTGAGATCCCAAAAATGTGATTGAACTAATGTTCATTATATGTATTAATATTCGACAATATTAATATCTCAAAGATCTCGTTTTGTTACCGGAAGGCGAATAGTTTTAATGTCGTTCTAATTAACTGATTTTTTTCCTAGTGGATTTTAATTATTAATGTTTATGTGAAAATTAAGAGCTTTTTACTATTGTAGTTCATCGATTTTTTGCAGTTTTTATTTTATGCTTACTTTTTCCTTTTTTTTTGAGTTTTTATGTGAAAATTTAGATCATTAATTTTAGTCCTTAAACTTTTTTTATTGAAGTTCATCGAGAAAGTCGATATTTTTGTTCTCACATTAATGTATCAAGATATCATATGGTTACAGTTCATTATATTAATGTTTTCAAACCACTGAAACTTCTAAGTCCTATAAAATATGATATTTTAACGTTAAATGAAGAAACTCTAATTTTTAAGATTTCAAAAATGTATTAATATACGACAATATATTTTTCCAAAAAAAAAAAAAATAAAATAAAAGAAAGTAGTATTTTCTAATTTGGTTTCATGTATTTTTGGATATTTCGCTGCCATCTACTCACTAATTCATAAATTATTTAGAATTTAGAATAGTGGTCAGATTAATCCCCAATTATCTTGATGTTTTCCCAATAGTTTCATCGTTAAATTCACTTGCAAATCACCAACTAAATGACATGTATGAGCGAGAGAACATACTGAAAGGAAAATGCGCACATGAGTGTGCAAGAAAGGGATGCACAATCGCACAGCCGGAGAAGTGGTAATTTTTTTCCCCAAGCCCATACAAAACTAACCGCTAAACTGACGAAAAGTATTAGGGTCGTTTGCACCATGTCTAGTTAACGCTAACAGGAGGTACATCCTTCAGTTAAGCACGTTAACTGCTTTATCGATCACATGTTATATGATGGGTGTCGATACCGTCGATAAAGATGTTTAACTGGGAGTTAGCGTTAACTAGACATGGTGCAAACGGCCCTTAGTCAGTTTTTCCACTAATTTAGTCGATAATCATAGTTCAGGCTTCTAGCAGGATTCTGGGAAGGAATGTTCGATACTTAAGAAAGTATCGATATCATGAATCGATTTAATAGCCCCTTTTCAGACAAGTCAAATCTTGAAAGCAATTTTTATCGCATTCTCTTTTGTGTTTTCTCTTTGCTTCCACACGCATCAAGTTTTATCGAATTCAACTACTTGGTTCTTTAAACGGGAAGCAACGAAAAGATCATTAGAGAACAAGAAAACTTGAAAAAAATTTACGGTACGGAGGTATCTGTACTCTTCCCCTCTCTTCCCTCCAGCCTCACCAATGAACGAGCAGACTTGAAAGCAAGACTTGACGTGTCTGAAAGAGGACATACATTGTATGTAAAATCGATATGGCGATATATCGGGCTGAACAATATCGATATCAAAAAAGTCGATGTTAAAAATCCAATTCCCAATTGAATAGAATATTAAACCAGCCCATCAGCTCACTCCAATTTCCAATTTGTATATTTACTGAGGATTAAAACGGCATGCCCCCTGCCAGCCAAAAGTAGTGAAAAATCTGGTGAAACCGCGGTAAATTTTGTATGGTCGGTGTGCAGATTTTCACCAGTTTATAACCTTAAAAACTTTATATTTTCAAAATGCATTGTTATACTAATATACATAGTAATCAATATTATTAATAAAAATGGAACAAATGCACAATACCTACAAATCTCGAATTAAAAAAAAAAAATAGGATCGATAGAGATCATTGAGGTAAATATAGCGGTATATATATTTTGGGTGGGCTTTCCAAAACGGAACCAATCGAAATTTCCGCGAAAGTATAATGAATTTCGTCATGAAACTTGGTGAGGATGTTGGCGCGATTTTTTATTTAAAATTTTCGCCTGCGGCGCTTTATATTCTAAAAATCGATACTTCGATGAATAATGAACATTTTTAATAAAACATCGCTTTTTATTATAAAATCGATACTTCGATAAATTATGCAACTTTTTTAATCAAAAATCGACCAATAAATAATTAAATTTTTTTATTAAATATCGCGCGATCATTATCTGCATTTTTTTATTGCTTCCGTTTTGTGTTTTTGAGGCATTTTTTCATATGTATGGCAGCACTGACATTTCACTTCAATTGGTGTACAAAGCAAAAGGTGAGGTTAAATTCGGTATTTTTTGCAACTTTAAATGCGAATTACTTTAAAACTTTAAGCCTCCGGAGGGTGGGGTCTTCAGATTTAGAATCTGAAAAAGCTCCTCTATACTCCCTAATATTTTTTTTTTCAAAGCCTGGATCCGTTTTGGAAAATTTTCCCTATATTTTTTTTGGGAAACAACAACTACAACAATTATTAAAGGTCAAAGTTCAAATTAAGCATTTTTTTTAATTAACATTTCTCGAAAACCTCTTCAAGGAATTGGGCAATTTTGATGTCATATATGATAGAGAGTTTAATTCTCTTTAATTTGATATACATATTTATACATATGTATACCTTTTTATAGTTTTCACAAAAATCTAATTAATGTGTATATTTGCGTAGGCGGCCTTTGGCCGCACTTATGGATTATAACCCTCATAAAGTAGAATTCTCTTTCTGTGTTGCGAAGAAAAAGCGCTGAACTCCTTTTGCAGAAAACACCTTTCGGCGTAGGCGGACTTCGGCCGCGCTTATGGATTATAACCCTCACGAAGTACAATTCTCTTTCTGTGTTGCGAAGAAAAGGCGCTGAACACCTTTTGCAGAGAACACCTTTCTGCGTAGGCGGCCTTCGGCCGCACTTATGGATTATAACCCTCACAAATTAGAATTCTCTTTCTGTGTTGCGAAGAAAAGGCGCTGAACACCTGTTGCACAGAACACCTTTCTGCGTAGGCGGCCTACGGCCGCGCTTATGGATTATAACCCTCACAAAGTAGAATTCCACATTAATTAGATTTTTGTGAATACTATAAAAGATATATGCATAAATATGTATATCAAATTAAAGAGAATTAAATTCTCTATCAAATGAAATCAAAATATCGAGAAATATTAATTAAAAAACATGCTTAATTTGAACGTTGACCTTTAATAATTGTTGTAGTTGTTGTTTCCCAAACAAAATATATACATCGTTACGCTCACCTCAATGATCTCCTTCGATCCCAACATGAATTTTTTTAATTTGAGAATTGTAGGTATTCTACATTTATGCCATAAAAATTACAATTAAGATTAATAATAAAGGCGCATATTCATAGTCATATTTAGTACTCAACTAAGGGCCGTTTGCACCATGTCTAGTTAACGCTAACTGGAGGTACATCCTTCAGTTAAGCACGTCCACTGCTTTATCGATCACATGTTATATGATGAGTGTCGATAACGTCGATAAAGATGTTTAACTGGGAGTTAGAATTAACTAGACATGGTGCAAACGGCCCTAAGTCGAAACTATTCTAATAGGCTGTTTTTGCTTACGCGTAAAAGCACATTTAGCGCATTTAGGGCCGGTTACTCAATGTCTGGTTAACACTAATCTGCGGTTAAACATCGTTACCGACGTCTTCGACTCCATGCATATAACAGGGAGTCGGTAACGTCGATAACGATGTTTAACCGCAGATTAGTGTTAACCAGACATTGAGTAACCGGCCCTTAGCTCTAAATGCTACTCTAAGGGCCGGTTACTCAATGTCTGGTTAACACTAATCTCCGGTAAAACATCGTTATCGACGTTACCGACTCCATGTAATTTGCTTGGAGTCGAACACGTCGATAATGATGTTTAAACGGAGGTTAGTGTTAACCAGACATTGAGTAACCGGCCCTAAATGTACATTTATCCATACAAAATTCGTCACCTAAATGCAACTAAATGCAACTCTATTTTTGCATTAAGAATCTAAATGCTAAAAGCAACCCTGTGATCTTCCAAAATTTCCACGATTCGAACATGGTTTAAAGAGAAAAAGTGGCAACATTGCTTTTTCGAGTATACAGTTGCTAGCTGCGTTTCAGTGATCGCCGATCGAGATTTCTTTTATTTTGCATTACATATTTGGATAAAGAAAAGTTAAGCAAATTCAACATCGATTGATGCTGATAGAAATCTGGATCAATTTATGATCAACTCTGTTTGGTTTGTTTCCTAATTAAGGGCGTGTGTGAATCGGTAACAAGGTTCTATGGGGAAAGCTGTTGAATAATATTTTTACTATGGTGAGCCAGTTTTGCCAATCTGCTGTGTGAAATGAAATCTTTTTTGACAGCAGTAAATTTTTGATAACCGCAGATTTAGTCGGTTGGTTTATATTACAAATTGAAGTGAAATTAATATTTTAAGAAAACATCTACCATCACTGATAGCATTTCATCAATTTAAACTTTTGTTTTACGAAAAATTACACACAGCAAAAATCTTTGCGATTGTCAAAATTTTCTATCCATTTGTCAAAAATTTCACCAGCCTCATCAGCTACTGAAATTTTATTCAGTGAGGAAATTTGAATTGACATCACCGACAAATGAATATATACACAAACAAATGTTCGGTTATGGTTAAAACAATTCAAGTTTTTGTATTGAATTTTCGGTTTAAAATGTATTTTTTCCTTTTCAGTAGTTTTTTTGCACATTATCTTCTGCGTGAGAATTATATATACGCATCTAAATAAGAGACTGGAACACGGCTGTTTGTCAAAAGCATGCGATTTCGAACTCGCGTAAATGTACATTTGCTAAATGCTATAGCATGAACGCTCTTCGAAAACATATGTTCGAAAGTGCTAAATGTTGCATTTTAAATGCAGCAAAAACGCTGCATAAGTCACAACTAAAGCTATTCATAGTCGCCTTAGTTGCGACTTTTTTGGTTAAGCACCAACTTAAAATTTAGTTTCGGCTGCAGCTGCAACTAAGTCGTAACTAGGAAGAATTTTTTTTATCAAATTAAGGGAAAACAGACGAAATATGTAAAAATTAAGTTTGTAGAGGGTGAATTTGATAATATTGAATAATCTCCAATTAAAATTTACAAAGATCGATCCATTTTAATCGGAAGATGAAATTAAATGCGTATTACAATTCGAATAAAGCTACATCACAATTTTATAATTGGAATAATGTAGAGAAATTCTCAAATAATAAGTCAGTTTCACGCTAGTTCTTTTAAAGTAAATTTGTGCATAACATTTAGATATCTACGATTTGTATGTTTCACAGCATGCTTTCGATAAACATCGACTTCACTTCACTGCGGTTGTTCTGGCTATTTCACACAATTAACAAGAAATTGATACCTTATTCTTTTGCATAATCATGGAATGAAAATAAAAATTACAAAAACGGATGATCAAACTTGACATTATTTAATAAAAATGTAATTTTTCCAAAATATCGTAAAGAAAAATCGATACATTTTCACACTTGTTGACTATGAATAGAGGTAAATTTTAAGTTGGTACTTAAATTTAAGCTGCAACTTTGTTAGTTTCGAATTAGTTGCTGGACTATGAATACGCGCCAAAGATATTTTTACATACATGTGTGGTTGCTTAATTGCTTATTATTACTACTACTATTCTTTTGCATATAGCTGTTTTCAAAAGATGCAAAATTTCTATAAAATAGTTAATCGATTTTAACAATATTACAATCAAAAGAAAAGTAATCGATTTACCTTTCTTTTAATATATATTAACAGTTGCAAATCATTTGTAATGGTTGACAAAAAATCGGTTTCGTTACAGCTTTGCAAAGTTTGACGACTTTTTCACTTCTGCGTATAGATGTTTTCAAAATTGCAAAATTTGTATAAAATAGTTAATCAATTTTAACAATATTACAATCAAAAGAAAGGTTATCGATTTACTCTTCTTTTAATATATATTAATAGTTGCAAATCATTTAACCTGGTTCACAAAAATCAGTTTCATTACAACTTTGCAAAATTTGATTACGTTTTTTCGACTTATATATAGACGTTTTCAAAAGTTGCAAAATTTCTATAAAAAAGTTAAGCGATTTTAACAATATTATAACAAATATAAAAGAAAGGTAATCGATTTATTATTTGTTGTGGCCCCGATAGTATTTGCACTTCTTGTATCCGGTCTGCTTGTTGCTTTGTTTGCAATTTTTGTGAAGATTGTTGTGAAGATTGTTGTTTAATTTGATGCGCTTGCTCTTGTTGCTGCGTTTGTACTTCCTCCAAGCAATGCTCCTGCGACAGTGACCTTTCTTGCTGCTGCTCTTGTTTGCTTTGTTGATTCATATTTTCGCTAAATTCCGTTCGGTTCTGAAGTGTGTTGAATTCATTCGATTTTTGACTTTGACTATTTGTAGGTGCTAACGGCCAGTTGCATAAATTACTTATATCCATGGAGGTGCTCGAGAATAACACATTGACATCATGTGTAACTAAATTTTCGGGATTCGATAGTGGCGCTTGTCTTGTGACCGGCTTGAAGCAGCAGTAGTGTCTAAAACAACTATCTCATCTGGCGCTTGCACACATTCGTAATTTTCCTCATCCTCAGCTAGATTAAATTGCAACTTGTTGAGAGGCACAAGTTTTTCTTGTTTGATGATTTCGCATGGCAGAAAAGTAGCTGCGGTTGGAGAAATGAATAAGTTAAACTGGATTTTCGTATGCTAAACTTAAAAATATAAATTTGAAACTTATGATTTTCAAAGTTTACTGGCTCGTTGTGGGTAGTTGCTTGCAATCCGAAATTTAAATATTCTCTAAGAAGTCTCTCTGTGAAAAAATAAAAAAAAAGTTAAGGTAATAAAAAATTAAATAACATACGAGAGCATAACAAAACGTAACATACTATAGCAAAGCACAACATAACGTAATATACCATAAGAGAACATAGTCTCTCTGTGAAAAAAAAAGTTAAGGTAATAAAAAATTAAATAACATAGGAGAGCATAACAAAACGTAACATACTATAGCAAAGCACAACATAACGTAATATACCATAAGAGAACATACATAATCAGCCCGATTCTGAATACAAATTCCTTAGGAAATTTCTCACTTCTCTCTATCCTCTTATTCTGAACAAAAATTCCTTACGAAATTTTTCTCTTCTCCCTTTCCTCTTATTCTGAACAATGTTCGAAAAAGGGGGAAAAAAATTTAGAGAGGAAAGTAGGTATCACGAATGCAAGTAAAAGGGAGATTTTGCTGCCATTTTTAAAGTATTTTTTCCCCAACTATTTTGAAAGGAACGCTGAGGAAAAATGTAATTTTATTTACTTTTTAATGGAAAAAATACTAATTTATAATAAAAAACAGTAATAAAGTACTACAATCATTCTTATTTTAGGTCGAAAAGTACAAATAAGCATCAATTAGAAATTCTGGTAAACCTAATGCAAGGCCATGCTGAAATCGCGCGAGGTTTTTACAAAGGCGGTAAAGAACCACTGAATAGATTTTGGCGCAAAGTTGAGAAAGAACTCAATTCAGCGGGGCCACCATCAAAATGTATTGCCGAATGGAAGAAGGTACATCAATAAATACATTTTACCTATGTCAGTTTAATAAAATTGCTACAATCCAGGTGTGGGCTGATCAAAAGAAGTACGTGCGACACAAAGCAGCCAGTAACCTTAGACATAGTAGGGGAACTGGAGGAGGCCCTAATATCGAATACAAGTTTTCTGCAACAGAAAGGGCAATATTCGAGTTGATAGGGATGAAGGAATCCGTGGAAGGTGTGGCGAAGACATTTGGGCTGACATCTTCGATTAATGTTGAACGAGTGGAAGAAAACCTTGATTTCTTGATGAATGAGAGTGGTGTAGTGAATGAAATTGTATTGAAGAATGAGTGTGTCGCGATGAATGAGGACCCAATGGATTGTGTGTTTCTGATTGACGAAGAGGAGCCTACTTACCAGCCATCTTCAAAAGCAGTTAAGCCTACTTCCTCCAAAAAAGTGTTGACAAAACATTCTCCTCCTGAAATTCTCGTGGAAGAGGTTGCAATTCATCGCGAGCTATGCGACACCATCAAGGGTGCAGTTTCGGAATCCAAAGAACAGCAAGAAAACGTAAAAAAAATTTATAGAGCGATCGACAGTATGCAGGTAGTCCAGAAAAAGCATTTTAAAGAAATGGAAAAATTAAAGAGGGAAGAAATTGACGAAATGAAAAGGCATAATCTGATCATGGAAGAACTCATGCTTCGCCAATTAGAGAAGTAAATGGAAATGCATAGTACAAATAGAATAAGAATAACTGAATTTGTGATGTTTTTATTTTTTAATGTACATATATTAACTCTTTTTTATGTTTATTATGAGGCCTTTTAGTATAAGAATAACTGAATTGTGATGCTGTTTTATATTTTAATTTAATACTAAGAAAATAAGAAGAAACTGAATTTGTTCTGCCTTATAACGTTTTATTTACATATATGTATGTATATCCATGGATTTTAAAAATAATTTTTAGTATACGAAACTTAATTGTGGTACTCACTTCATTTATCCCTTTGTAAAACACTGAATACGAATATGAAATTAATATATATCCTTATAAAAATTAAATATGAAAATAAATGTTTTTTGCTTTTGTAACATAAAATTTAAAGGGAGCTCGCAATTCGGTTTCTTGTGGTTTGTGCTGCAGCCAAATACAGGGGCGATGTTAAAGAGGTAACATCTGTATTCTCACTCATTTGGTTTATCTGCTCTGGTGAGTTTATTTCGCTCATGTCTGTATATGACTTAAAATGTATGCATATATTATGTAACGCACAACATACATTGACTATCTGAGCTGCTTTTCTGGGAGTATAATGCAGTTCTCTTGCTCCAAGGAGACACCTCCATCGAGTTTTTAGCACTCCATTGACTCGTTCAATTAAGTTCCGACATTTTGAATGGGCATCATTAAATTTCATTTGGTTGGAGCCATCTTCTGGGCTTCGATATGGTGTCAGAAGCCATGGTTTTAAAGGGTATCCGGCGTCTCCTAATTCAAAAAAGTCCCATATTACAGCATATAAAAAATTTCACTAATTTTAATTTTACCTAGCAGCCAAAAATTGCCTTCACCTCGCAAGTACTGAGCTGTGTGAGATGCGTTCTCAACTCACTGCCATTCCAAATAAAGGAGTCATGAGAGGCACCAGGATGGGAGGCATCAACGTATCGAATCCTAAGCTCGTGGTCACACATCTGCCAATAAAAAATTACACATATTTGTTAATATACGTACATACATACACATCCATTTTGTAGATAAGTTAGTTTGTATTCATCTAAGTATTAAAAAAAAATAGCATACCAGCATCACATTTAGGCTGTAGTATCCCTTTCTATTGTAGTATAGGTGCTTATTTTCAGAGGGTGCGATGATGCGAACATGTGTTCCATCAAGACACCCTATAACACTGGGAATACCATGCTTTATGTATAATGCACGTGAAATGCGTCTTCTTTCATCGATGTCCATTGATGCATTTATCCACCTTGAGCACAACAAAGTTTCAAAAGTTTCAGTTACTTCTTTGAGAACTTTACTGAAGGTGGACTGGGCTAGAGAGACGTCGACGTCTTTTCCAATTCTGCTTGATAACCGCGTTCAGCAAAGAAACGTAAAGATGCGCTGAGTTTTACAATAGGAGGAACTGCAAATTGCTTTTTATTATTTACCCTATAATATTTCTGGAACCTGTAAAAGCGATAAATTATTTAAAATATATGCACAAATGTGTAGGTATTTACAATGATTGCGGCAACTCAAGCGGATTCGTATTATCGCGAAGGCTCCTTCTTATAGACCTCTGTTGAGCTTCCTGTGGCTCCAATTCGCCATATACTTCCTCCACTCTCATATGAAAGGCAAAACTATGCATTATTTTTAATATTTTCTTAAAACGATACAAAATTCAACAAAAAGTTCAAACTTTTGAATTCTCTCAGAATGTCTAAATGAAATGTCATTTGGCAAAACAGCTGATTTCGAAAATTCGAAATTCTTACTCCTCAATTATTCCTCTCCCTTGCGGAAAATAATAGGAGGATTTTTTTCTCGAGAGAAGAAAAATCCGTGAGAATATAATTCCACGAGAATATTTAGAATCGAGCTGAATAGATCATAACATAACATGTTATGAAATAGAATAAAATAAGTATCAATCGCCCCTGAAATCATTTTGAGTAAAATAAAATAAAAAACGAATAAAACTTATTAAAAATCTGTCCCTCTCTCCACTTACGTGAGGTTTGAATTCTCGTCGCAACAGTTCTAGGCATCTTGTAATCCGAAGCCACAGCTAGTTCATCACCTCTGCTTACAACTTCGGTAGTCACATTAGTTGTGCTGATTTCCTGTACCCGATCTACGGCGTGCAACCCAACTGATCTTTCAAAAATCTTCTTCTTCTTATTTGGCACTACAACCGTTTGTCTGTTTGGGTCGAGACCAAAAAGCTTCTCCAATTGCATCTCTCCTGCGCGAATTTGCACCAGTTGGTTATCCCGAGCGCAGACAGGTCCTTCTGCACTGGTCCTTCCATTGCGTTCGTGGGCGCCCTTGCTTTCGTTGTCCACCCATGGGTGCGGAGTCGAAGGATCTTTTCACCGGAGAGTTGTCATCCATGCGTACAACATGTCCAAGCCAACGCAATCGCTGTATTTTTATGCGCTTAACTATGTCCATGTCGTTAAAAAGCTCTACAGTTCGTCATTCCATCTTCGATATCCGCCATCCATAATGTGACCAACTTTTTCGTAGCGCAAAGAAGTACAGGACCTAAAAACTAAAAATTTTTGAAGGTAAGGAGAAAATTGTAAAGCGGAATATATGCATAAAAACGCTGACAATGTACCAATTCAACAAATCAATTTTATTGATTAAAAACAAAACTTTTCTTCATTAACAACCCTGCCAGCCACGGCTCACCACTTTCCCCTGAAATTCAACGATTTACAAACACATTCACAACTTTATAGTCATCTCACCCACACACTTACAAATTTTTTGTTCGAACTGTCAAAAAAATTTCCCTTTGTTAGAGCTACATACCCGATAAGAATTCGTACTCTAATAAGAATTCTATGCGTTAGAGCGAGCAAGTTAGAAACATCGGAGTTTTGATGACAGTATACATACTGTGAAGAAATGTCACTTTGCGAAAATTTTGAAGGTAAGGATACGTATTTAACAATTGTATTTAATTATATTGTAATTTCTTCTTTTAGATTGCAAAACAGCAGCGACTTGGTCACATTCTTAAGGTATGTATTGAGACTTTTTATATGTTTATAAATTTGAATTGCTATTTTTGTTTGTTTACAGGTTTGGGATTCATCATCAGCACCTTCAACGCTTGCATCTTCATCGCCAGGAGCACCATTAAAACCTTCTGCCCTCAGCTTCTTCATCGCCAGGAGCACCATGGGTACCTTCCGCCCTCAGCACCTTCAACGCCAGGAGCACCTTCAAAGTATAGGTCCAACTTGTCAAATTTTGCAAAGTTGTAAGAAAACTTAATTTTTCTGAACCACCATAAATGATTTGCAACTGTTAATATATATCAAAAGAAAGGTAGACCGATTACCTTTCTTTTGATTATAACACCGTTAAAATCGCTTTACGTTTTCATAAAAACTTTGCAACTTTTGTAAACAGCTATATATAAGCAGTGAAAAAGTGGTAAAATTTTGCAAAGTTGTAACGAAACTGAATGGTTGTGCACCATTACAAATGATTTGCAACTGTTAATATATATTAAAAGAAAGGTAAATCGATTACTTTTCTTTTGATTATAATATTGTTAAAATCGGTTAGCTATTTTATAGAAATTTTGCAACTTTTGAAAACATTATATATGTGAAGTGAAGAAGTGGTTAAATTTTGCAAAGTTGTAACGAAACTGAATTTTTGTGCACCATTACAAATGATTTGCAACTGTTAATATATATTAAAAGAAAGGTAAATCGATTACATTTCTTTTGATTATAATATTGTTAAAATCGGTTAGCTATTTTATAGAAATTTTGCAACTTTTGAAAACATTATATGTAAGAAGTGAAAAAGTTGTCACATTTTGCAAAGTTCTAACAAAACTGAATTTTTATGAACCAGTACAAATGATTTTCAAATGTCAATATATATTAAAAGAAAGGTAAATCGATTACCTTTCTTTTGATTATAATACTGTTAAAATCGCTTAACTTTTTTATAGAAAATTTGCAACTTTTGAAAACAGCTATATGCAAAGGAGTAGTAGTAATAATAAGCAATTAAGCAGCCACATATGTATGTAAAAATATCTTTATTATTAATGTTAATTGTAATTTTTATTCATAATATTGATTACTAACTATGCATTTTGAAAAATAAATTTTGCAAAATAAAAATCAAACAAAATTTTAAGATTTTTTATTTAAAGGTTTTAAGGTTATTTTGAATTCGCTTTGAAGAGAATGCAACCCTGCGCCAGCTGAAGTGGGCAATGCTAGACGAGTGCAGCTATATGTTTTCCTTACGAAGTATCTGAATGAGTGCGACAGTGTTGCAAGGATCACACGTACAGGGGGAAAGTGGTGACAATCTGCACACCGCCCATACAAATGTCACCAGTTTTGTCACCAGTTTTGAAGTGACCGAAACCCGCGGTTTCACCAGATTTTTCACCACTTTTGGCTGGCAGGGAATACAAAATTATCGCATAATAAAAAAGGGGAACAATGAAGTGAACTTCTAGCTCTGTAAATTGCGTATGGCTGAGATCTTTATTTCGTGAAAAGAATTTGAGGGATATTATAAATATGAATTCATTACTATTGCTATTAGGGTTTGGCGCATTCTTAAAATCATATTTTTCCATGCTATTAATTTGTCGCAAAAGGGTGGGTTGTGTCTTTAAAAAATTAAAAAAAGTCGATGCATTTAGAATCTAAATTGTACTTTACATCCATTAAATATTTTACTGTTTGAACTTTCAAAAGAGTTTTTTGACCTGTCCATGTTTTATTTACTAAAGAAAATACACGCTCAACTGGAGCTGAAGAGCCGGGAAGGCAAAGAGCGTATTCTGTCAATTGAGCAAATTCAAGGTACGAAATTTCTTGGCTCTCCATGTGCTTGAAAATTTCCACCCATCGGTCTTCTGTTGCCGCCCTTTTGACCCTCCATTCAGCGATCTTTTCACTTGTACAATAGCTTTTTATGAGCCCATATTGGTGAAATAATTTTTCATATATGTTAGCATCTAATAATTTGTTTGAGATCAGTTTTTGAATAGTAGCATCAACATTAGACCAAATGGGGTACGTTTTCAGTCTAATCCATAATAATTCTTTGATATAGCGAAACTGTTCTGCCCACTCTTGAAGATAATTGTACGCATCAACTAAAAATGTATGTAGATATAAATATGTACATAAGTGAGCTAAGTAAAAACTGGGACGCGACATTTTAGCAAGGTTTGACTATTTTCTTTAGTTTGCTTAATGTTTATTATATTTTTATGAATGTATAGCTGATTACTTGACAAACACTAAATAAATCCAAATTTCAGACTTTGTGCAAAAATTAAGAAAATTTTGCAAAGTTTGACCAAAATTTCTAGCTATGCAGTTTTGTAGCCCATTAAATTTTAGTATAATAAAGTGCAAATTTGGAGTGTCGAACATACCTTGTATGAAAAAAATGCGGAGCACCGTCAACAAAAAAACTTGCCAAAAGTCAATGGTAAGTCCCAGCTACTCCATATTTGCACTTTATTCCTTTTAAAATTTCATGGGCTACAAAACTTTTGGTCGAACTTTGCAGAACTTTCATAAGTTTTGCACAAAGGGCCTGTGCCAAATGATAGAAAAGAGAAAATTTTGACGGATCAAAGTAAAAATCTGACATTTCTCGTGGTGAATAAGAACGTCAGAATTTTACCTAGCTCATGGGGCTAGGTAAAATTTTGACAGTTTATAACCATGTATACACATAATATTGCTTGGCGGTAATAAGGAGTGAACATGAAAATGAAAGCTGGAACAGCATAAAAAAGCGTACGTTACTTGCAAATTATAAAATAAATATAAATTTTAAGAATTTCAGCAACACACAAAAATAAAGCTTTCGCACGAGCGTTTGTTTGGGTTTTCAACTGTCAAAATTTAACTCTGCATTTGGCACAGCAAAATTCAATTTATTTGTACACCATAGCAAATTTTTCCACCCCGTCTCACCACGGAGAAAAAAGTTACCGATTGGCACAGGCCCAAAGTGTGAAATTTGGATTTATATGGTGTTTTTCAATAATCAGCTATACATTCATAAAAAAATAATAAATATTAAGGGCCGGTTACTCAATGTCTGGTTAACACTAACCTCCGTTTAAACATCACTATCGACGTGTTCGGCTCCATGCATATAACATGGAGTCGGTAACGTCGATAACGATGTTTTACCGGAGATTATTGTTAACCAGACATTGAGTAACCGGCCCTAAGCAAACTAAAGGAAATAGCCAAACCTTGCTAAAATGTCGAGTCCCAGTTTTTATGAGGTTCACGGAACATATATTAAAAACCATACAT